GGACCTGTTACCATTTGAAACTACTTTTTAAGCTCTTGTCTCTTTCAACCAAGGATACTTTTTTACACACCACAATGGTGTCTCTCTGGTCCCTAGGACCCTTTATTTATTTTATTAATACTACTGCTACAGAATCTGGCATTTTCCCCCGGGGAAGTTCTCAGGGCTCCCAAAGAGCCTGGACGTCACTTGTTGTCCCCGGGGGCTCCATGGTGACCTCCCAGAGGTCATCCTGAGCAATCTCCTGGAATCAAAGACTCTGTGGGGACACTGCAGGGCCATGTGGATCCAGGGGCCATGGGGACACTGAGGAAACTCATGAAATGAAGTGGTCACTGTGACATTTCAGGGCCTCCTGGAACCTTCTCCCTTTGGAAACACAAAGGGATGTGTGGGAGGGTTTCACTGAGAACAGGAGAATTATGGAGAGGGACCTTTACACACCCAGATCTTGATGTGTCCACACATCTCTGCCTGGGTGTGGGTGTTGTTGCCTTAAGAGACCATAGAGAAAAAGACTCTGGGCCAATTTAGGTAGGAGATAAGATAAAGAGACCTGGTCCTTTAATGAGTCCTTAGGCCTAGGGGAATACATACCATGTGTGCCCCCCCCGGACAGGGGTTCTATGATTTTATAATAAGGTCCATCCAATCCTAGGTTTATGCACTGTGAGTTCTGCCCCATTTTGCCCCCTGATACACCCCTTCAGGAATTGGGTTTGGTGCCTTTGGGGCCCCTTCTTCCTCATCTTCATCTTTTTCACAGCACACACAATCCTGGGAGTTCCAGAAGGGTTCTGCTTAGAAGGTCACTGTGTCTGTGTGATAGCTTCTGGTCCAGGCCTTAGGGTGTTTTTCTACAATTCTGCCTTGAAAAGAAGACTATAAATGGAGTTTAGAGGGATGGATATGGTATGGTTTGGTATGTGTAAATACTCTTTTAAGGGATATGATACAGCTACATTAAAATATATTCACTACACAACTAGTTCTAAAATCTACAAAAGTTAAAAAAAAAACCCAAATGATCTGAGATATCAGTGTGAATTGACTCTGGTGTGAGTGTTGTTATTGTGAATCTATAATTCAGTCTCTGTTCAGTTCTAGTAAATGCTATTGAATCCCTTGATAACTGTTCAGTTGGTCAGTGGTTAAGTGCTACCAGTTCTTTTGCCCCCTTATAGTTAGATCCAAATCCTTTGCACCCTGACCCTTTTCCATCCTATGTCTCTGTGTAAATCATTCCCCTTAGTAGAAAAAATATATTTCTGTGACTTCCACTTAAAAATATTCCTCCTCAGCTAAACTACAAAACAAGTCCAATTAGTTGTTGAAGAATTGAAAACATGAAGACAGTTAAAGGAAGGAAAAAAATTTGTTTGTCTTTATTTTAATGAGCCTGGCAAGCCGGGGGGTGAAGAGTGAGGCTGATCATACAGGGTCAGTCTGGATCTCCTGATGAGAAACTCAGCATCAAGATCGCTTGGAGAACACCTCTATCACATCTCCTCTGAACTGAAAAATATCCATCCTTAGTTAAAAAAAGACTTCTTTTCAAATTGCCTTAAAGACAATTAAAGGAAGACAAAGAGATCCTGAGGGATTTCTGGATTCTAATGAGCCCCACAGTGTGTTTAGAGACAAGTCCATTGTTCTCAACTACTGAGAGAAGATTGAAGAAGCTGCTCAAGAAGTCAGAAGCCAAACTCCCAGTCCCTTGAAGCATTGCTGGGCCCCACTGAGGGCAGGCACTGACAAAGCCTCCCCAAGCTCTCCTTAGAGCAGATCCCTGCAGGCCAGGAGTGCAGGCAGACAAAGGAAAGTTGCTTGGGGTGGCCTGAGGGGCAGAGGCAGCTGCCAGAGCCAAGGGCACAAAGGCCTGGGTGCCTTTGGGCCTTGCAGCCCTACCAGAGCCCTTGGCCATCTCTGCTGCAGGCTGTGCTCCCCTGGCCCTGCTGCTCCTCTGGCCTTGCAGGCTGCACACACCCCTCCTGCTTTCCCACCCCCCTCCCAGCAGCATTTCTGGGCCCTCCCTGATGGCTCTGCTGTCCCCCAGGTCTGGCTGCTGCCATGTGCACTTGGCCTTCTTGGCTTGGATGCTGAGCCCCTGTGCCCCAGGACATCCCTGAGAGAGCCCAGGCCCTTCTGCTGGGGGTCCCTGCAGAGCTGAGCAGATCCAGGTCACCTCCCATTGCTCTGCCAACCCCTTGGGGCTGCTCTGGGCCCTGCAGGTCCTTGCCCTGCTCCCAAGGGCTGTGGGGGTGCTTCATGGTCAGGGCTTGGGCTTTAGAGCTCAGGGTGGGGATTGGGCAGAACTTTGGGAGGTTTGCTGTTCTGCTGGCAGTGTCTGGTTCATGATTAGGGGAAGAGCTTTCTGGTCTGGGTCAGGATTAAAGCTTGTGTTTTCATACTACCAGTGCAGGTTTGGGATTGGGGTGGGCATTGGAGTACAAATAAGAGTCTGGACTTCTGGGTCTGGGCTTTTTCTGGCTTAAAATCAAAGCACTGGATTCCTTTCTGTGGGAGGGGCAGCACTTTTAGATAGTGTTGGGGCTTGAGGTTACAAAGAGGGTAAAGGTCCATCAGGAGTGTTTGCACAGTGAGTGTTTCAGCACCCTCAGCATTCCGTGAACCTGTGTTTACCTCATCAAAATCTTTCCTATGTTTCAACCAAGCCCCACTTTCCTTTCCCAAATATCCAATCTTTTTTGTCCCAGTTCCTCCTGAACTCTCCCAAACTTTCATCTGGTTGGACTCAGCTTTGTGATGACCCTGTGTAACGTCATGGAATTAAGGGGCCATTGTGGCACTACAGGGGCTCATGGAAAGAAAAGAAACACAGGGACACTGTGAAATCTTGTGGAACCAGCACACTATTTAATATTTAAAACCTTGTGGAAATAATAGAACCCTGAAACCTTTTGGAATCTCATGGAAGGAGGGAACCCTTGTGTCACTGTGGTACCTCCTGGAAACAAAGAAACCCTGGGACACAGAGGAATCTCATGAAAGGAAGGGGCCACTGTGACACCACAGGGCCTTTTTGGAGCCAAATGGACCTTGGGACACTGGGGAACGTCATGGAATCAAAGGGTCACTGTGACACCCAGGACACCTCATGGCCTCAAGGGGACCACTGTGACACTCCAGGGCATTCTGGAGCCAAAGGATCCCTGGGACACTGAGCAGCCTCCTGGAATCAGGGGGTCACTTTGACACTGCAGGGCCTCATGGAAACCAAACCAAATACAGGTTTGTCCAGGTCCTGAGGGTGATTCAGAGGGGAGGCAGCAGTGATTTCTCCCTACAGACCCACCACTCCAGTGGTCTCTCCCTGCCCTGAAGGTTTCTGGCCATCAGGCTGTAGCTGAGGGGCTTGGGCAGGGCCATGAGGAGGGGGTAGAACAAGGGCTGTGTCCAACTGTGCCAGGAGGGCTGTGCTGGGCAAGGAGGACGAGGCTGCAGCAAACAGTGGCACTGCTGAGGTGAGAGGAGCAGGGGGAGAAACCTTGTGCCTGCCCACGCTGGGCAGGAGCTGCCCCAGGATGGCAGCTCTGAAGCACTCCCAGCATGTCCCTGGGAATAAGAGGGGAAGACTGGATTTCCAAATCAGGCTGGGAATGCAAAGAGCAGGAGTGTCCTGGTGTCACTGCAGGAGAGTTCCAGCCCTGCAGCAAGGGCACAGAAGAAGTGACCCAGTCCATGCAGTGCCCTCGGAAGATCCCACAGCATCCTGTAGATGCTGTCAGGGAGGCCAGCTCTGCTTCACAAGTTCCCAGTGCCTGTCCCTGCCTGTGCTCAAAGGGCTTCCATCCCCAAGGACTGTGCTCAGAGAGCACTCAGGACTTGGAGCAAGAAAAGGGTTCACAAGGATAGTGTGGAAGTGGAAAGAGCAGCTCTGCAAAGACCAAGCTCTGCTGCTCCCTGGCAGTGCTGCTGTGCTGGGATTCTTGTCCCCTTGCCCTTTGCAAATCCCCCCTGTCCTGCAGTGTGCTGTGCTTTGGGAACAGCTAAGAAGAAGGGTCTTGGACAAAGCAGGCACTGCAGGGTCCTTTATTTTGTTCAAATATTCAGAGAGCACAATTCATAATTTTTACATCTCTGGGTCAAATTCAATGGGTACACACTTAATTAGAAGGCAGATACCTAATAATATTTCATTGCACAGAAAATTTTTCCAGGAAGAACCCGAAGACCTCTGCGGAAAACCTGAGCAGGAAGGCCACAAAGGAAGCCCTTTCTAAATGTTACACACCAGAACACAGGCATTTTATTCCTCCTGAAAAGCATCCAGTCATCATTTTCCTTATGGCATCCTTGAGCTCCTGGTTCCTCAGGCTGTAGATGAGGGGATTCAGTGCTGGAGGCACCACAGAACTGAAAGAACCAGGTCCAGGGATGGGGAGGAGATGGAGGAGGGCTTCAGGTGGGCAAATGCTGCAGTGTTGATAAACAGAGAGACCACGGCCAGGTGAGGGAGGCACGTGGAAAAGGCTTTGTGCCGTCCCTGCTGAGAGGGGATCCTCAGCACAGCCCTGAAGATCTGCACATAGGAGAAAACAATGAAAATGAAACAGTTGAACACTAAACAGCAACTAACCACAATGAGCCCAATTTCCCTGAGGTAGCCTGAGTGTGAGCAGGAGAGCTTGAGGATCTGAGGGATTTCACAGAAGAACTGACCCAGGGCATTGCCCTGGCACAGGGGCAGAGAAAATGTATTGGCTGTGTGCAGCAGAGCATTGAGAAACCCAGAGGCCCAGGCAGCTGCTGCCATGTGGGCACAAGCTCTGCTGCCCAGGAGGGTCCCGTAGTGCAGGGGTTTGCAGATGGCAACGTAGCGGTCGTAGCACATGATGGTCAGGAGGGAAAGCTCTGTTGACATGAAGAAGAAAAAGAAAAAGATTTGTGCAGCACATCCTGTGTAGGAGATGGTTGTGGTGCCCCAGAGGGAGTTGTGCATGGCTTTGGGCACAGTGGTGCAGATGGAGCCCAGGTCTGTGAGGGAGAGGTGCAGCAGGAAGAAGTCCCTGGGGGTGTGCAGGTGCTGGTCGCAGGCTACGGCGCTGAGGATGAGGCCGTTGCCCACGAGGGCAGCCAGGGAGATGCCCAGGAAGAGCCAGAAGTGCAGCAGCTGCAGCTCCCGCCTGTCTGAAAATGCCAGCAGCAGGAACTGGGCCATGGAACTGCTGTTGGACATTTGCTGCTTCCTCAGAGTGTTTGGATCTGTTGAGGAGGAGAAGTCAGTGCTGAGTTAGACCAGGTTGCTGCAGCCAAACAGGACATGTCTCACAGCCACCCCACTCTCAGGCTCTCTCTCCTCACTCAGACCTCCCTGCAGCTCCCTCCCCTGAGCTCTGGTTGTTGCTGTCTGAAGGCACCATTGGAAGCCAAAATGTAGGACTGAGCTGCGTGAATTCTTTGTGTTTGTTCCCCCACTTTCACCTCCCAAACTTAGGAGTGGTTATGGATGCTAGAAATCCCTCACATTTCCATGGCACTGCAGGGCAAGTCTTGTGGGTTCTGAGGGCACAGGGATGGTCCCTCAGTGCAGACAGAAGAGCTGCTCTGCCCATCAGTCTGTGCTCAGCTGCCCTGGGCTGGCAGCTTGGAGCTGCACAAGCATCAAATTTAACTGTTCCCCTACAGAGAAAGTGCACAGATAGCCAGGAATCCGTGTCCAAAGAACAGATTGACACACTCCTCACCTTTTCATCTCTCCCCTCCCAGAGTGAAAGACCAAACGCTCATTGCAGCTGCCTTTCCCTCCCTGCCTAGGTGTGTGTGAGGAGCTGTTCCTGCAACCAGCCCCTCCCTGTGCCCAGCTCAGCTCCCTGCCAGTGCTGCCAGAGCCCATGCCCAGCCCAGGGCCCAGGGGCAGCTCTGCCTGGGCAGGGGCTGCAGAGCAGATCCCAGAGCCCCTGCACTGGCTGGGAAGGGGCAGGAGTTGGTAGTGGATGTGCTTCCTGAGAAGGGTCCTGGCACAGGGAACCTTTCTGCCCTGGGCCTCTGATGGGGCCGCAGCAAGTCCTGCTCTGCAGCAGCTTCTCCTGCTGCCCCCCAGCAAAGCCAACACAGCCATCCTAACAGCTCCTGCCAGGGCTGGCATTTGGCAGCTGCAAGAGCCACTTGCAGCAACTCCCCTGCACTGCTCTGCAGCCCCAGCCTTCCCGTGCCAAAGGGCTGCCAAGGTTCCTCCCTGAGCAGCTCTGCCCTGTCCTCCCAGCCCACGATCCCTTTCACCTCCTGCTCCCTTCTCCTGGCTGCCCTTGCTGCCTGCAGCTCCTGCCCTGCTCTGCCTTAGGGCCACTTCCTCTGCCCTGCAGGGACTGGGAGAGGCCTTCTGAAAGATCCTACAAGCTGTGGGATGCGGCAGCTTTAGAAGATCCCTGCAGGAAGCGAAGTTTAAGTGTCCTCCAGCCAGAGAATTCTTCATTCAAATCCTGGGAAGGTTTCTCCTGTAGCGAGAGCTCAGTCCCCTCCCAGCCCAGGCTGCCTCTCACCTCTCTGCTTTCTCTCCTGTGCCCTGGGTGCTGCAGGCAGTGCCCTCAGCCCTGCTGGGCTGTGCAGAGGAGCTGCTCCTGAGCAAAGTTGTCTCTTTGAAGCTGTTCTTGGTTGCCAGGAGCTCCCTGTGTGCCAGGAGCCCAACCCAGCTCAGCAGCACAGCAACAACCCCAGGCATTTCATCACCCTTGGGGGCTTTGGAGATGAGTCCCTGCACATCAGACCCTGAGGAGAGTTGCAGGAACCTCTTGAGAAACCCAAGTGAGAATCAAACTGTAAAGTTTCTTGTAGTGTTAATTGGTCCCACTGAGGGATCCAATTGAGAAAAGATCTTTTTAGAGCACAAACCTGGAAACTGTGCTGACAGGTCAGAGAAGCACCAAATCTTCAAGCTTGGAAGACACCTTCAAGATCTTTTGGTCCAACTGTCAACCAGTACCACCATAATCATTCTTAAACCATATCCAGATGCTATCTGAATGCTTCCAGACACTCAATGACTTTTCTAGGAATCTTTTTCCAGTACCTAAACATTTAATGCAAATGAATCTAGAGGCTCAAGATGTACTGTTTTTAAAAATGGCACTAAAACAAACAAAGATTGTCAAGAAATATTAAGGTCCCTCAAAGATCCCACTTGAATGGACATGGTTAAGGCGTGTCGCAGTGTAGGATCCAACACGTACAGCAAATCCCTACTAACTGAAGTCCTGACAGTGCAACCACAACAGAAGGAGGCTACGTGTTAACACTGCAGGAAAACACATTTTAACTGGGACTGCTCCATCTAACGATGGCAACCAAAAAGCCAACGCCCCAAAGCCCCAAAATGCAGCCCCACCTGTGTGTCCTGGGCCCCTTTGTGATGTCAGAGTGTTTGGATCTGGTGAGGAGGAGAAGTCAATGCTGAGTTAGACCAGGCTGCTGCAGCCAAACAGGACACGTCTCACATCCACCCCACTCTCAGGCTCTCTCTCCTCACTCAGACCACCCTGCAGCTCCCTCCCCTGAGCTCTGGTTGTTGCTGTCTGAGGGCACCATTGGAAGCCAAAATGTAGGACTGAGCTGCGTGAATTCTTTGTGTTTGTTCCCCCACTTTCACCTCCCAAACTTAGGAGTGGTTATGGATGCTAGAAATCCCTCACATTTCCATGGCACTGCAGGGCAAGTCTTGTGGGTTCTGAGGGCACAGGGATGGTCCCTCAGTGCAGACAGAAGAGCTGCTCTGCCCATCAGTCTGTGCTCAGCTGCCCTGTGCTGGCAACTTGGAGTTGCAGGAGCATCACCCTCAACTGTTCCCCTACACAGAAACTGCACAGATAGCCAGGAATCCGTGTCCAAAGCACAGATTGACACACTCCTCACCTTCTCATCTCTCCCCTCCCAGAGTGAGACACCAAATGTTCATTGCAGCTGCCTCTCCCTCCCTGCCTGGGTGTGTGTGAGGAGCTGTTCCTGCCAGCAGCCCCTCCCTGTGCCCAGCTCAGCTCCCTGCCAGTGCTGCCAGAGCCCATCCCCAGCCCAGGGCCCAGGGGTAGCTCTGCCTGGGCAGGGGCTGCAGAGCAGAACCGAGACCCCCTGTGCTGGCTGGGAAGGGGCAGGGGTTGGTAGTGGATGTGCTTCCTGAGAAGGGTCCTGGCACAGGGAACCTTCCTGCCCTGGGCCTCTGATGGGGCCGCAGCAAGTCCTGCTCTGCAGCAGCTTCTCCTGCTGCCCCCCAGCAAATCCAGCACAGCCATCCTGACAGCTCCTGCCAGGGCTGGCATTTGGCAGCTGCAAGAGCCACTTGCAAGAGCAACTCCCCTGCACAGCCTTCCCGTGCCAAAGGGCTGCCAAGGTTCCTCCCCTGAGCAGCTCTGCCCTGTCCTCCCAGCCCAGGATCCCTTTCACCTCCTGCTCCCTTCTCCTGGCTGCCCTTGCTGCCTGCAGCTCCTGCCCTGCTCTGCCATAGGGCCACTTCCTCTGCCCTGCAGGGACTGGGAGAGGCCTTCTGAAAGATCCTACAAGCTGGGGGATGTGGCACCTGTAGGAGATCCCTGCAGGAAGGGAAGTTTCAGTGTCCTCCAGCCAGAGAATTCTTCATTCAAATCCTGGGAAGGTTTCTCCTGTAGCGAGAGCTCAGTCCCCTCCCAGCCCAGGCTGCCTCTCACCTCTCTGCTTTCTCTCCTGTGCCCTTGGTGCTGCAGGCAGTGCCCTCAGCCCTGCTGGGCTGTGCAGAGGAGCTGCTCAGCAGCAGAGCTGTCTCTTTGAAGTTGTTCTTGGTTGCCTGGAGCTCCCTGTGTGCCAGGAGCCCAACCCAGCTCAGCAGCACAGCAACAACCCCAGGCATTTCATCACCCTTGGGGGCTTTGGAGATGAGTCCCTGCACATCAGACCCTGAGGAGAGTTGCAGGAACCTCTTGAGAAAGCGAAGTGAGATTCAAACTGTAAAGTTTCTTGTAGTGTTAATTGGTCCCACTGAGGGATCCAACTGAGAAAAGATCTTTTTAGAGCACAAACCTGGAAACTGTGATGACAGGTCAGAGAAGCACCAAATCTTCAAGCTTGGAAGAGACCTTCAAGATCTTTTGGTCCAACTGTCAACCAGTACCACCATAATCATTCTTAAACCATATCCAGATGCTATCTGAATGCTTCCAGACACTCAATGACTTTTTTAGGAATCTTTTTCCAGTACCTAAACATTTAATGCAAATGAATCTAGAGGCTCAAGATGTACTGTTTTTAAAAATGGCACTAAAACAAACAAAGATTGTCAAGAAATATTAAGGTCCCTCAAAGATCCCACTTGAATGGACGTGGTTAAGGCGTGTCGCAGTGTAGGATCCAACACGTACAGCAAATCCCTACTAACTGAAGTCCTGACAGTGCAACCACAACAGAAGGAGGCTACGTGTTAACACTGCAGGAAAACACATTTTAACTGGGACTGCTCCATCTAACGATGGCAACCAAAAAGCCAACGCCCCAAAGCCCCAAAATGCAGCCCCACCTGTGTGTCCTGGGCCCCTTTGTGATGTCAGAGATTGTCCTCTCCATTCTGGAATAGCCCCTGGAAACCAAAGATCCAACGTCTCAGAATGTCACAGTGTAGCCCGCCCATCTGCCATGGGACTCTTTGTGTTGTTATGGCCTTTCCCCCAGGAAAAAAAGCCTGTAACCTTTGAGTTTCAGATGGTGGCAGTTGGTGGGCCACCCTGAGCACTCCATGGGCAGCAAGAGCTTTCTGTCCTGCCACCTTTCGTCTCGGAAGAATATTTGACCATATTCAGTTTTGGGAGTCTCACTGGCAAGTTCAGTGCAGGGCTCCGAAAAGCAAACAACAGCACTTCCACGCAGGAAAGAAATCCCTTCCATGGTCTCTCATGTGCAGTTGTGGGGCCACTGTTGACATTCCATGGGCAGCAAGAGTTTTCTGTTCTGGCAACTTTTGTCTAGAAGGAATCTTTGTCCATATTC